CCTGCACCACAGATGGGAGGCAGTGAAATTATATGTGTCTGGGTGAGCGCAGGGTGTTGTCTTGAAATGGGAAACTTCTAGGCCTGCACTAAAATTTCTCTTCTATGAGGCCCTTGGGAGATGAATTTTTATTTATGAGGAAAAAAGAAATGAGAATAACGATGGTATTTTAAGCTTTAGAATATTTACTTTCTAGGTAAATGATACATGGACCTCAAAACTTAAAGTTTTCAATTGATTTACTTGGCTATCCATCACCATTCGTTAGGTACATTTTTCTAAGGTTTATTTCCTTCAATGACCAGCAGGATACCATAGTTACCAAGAAACCCAGCGTATGTTGCAAACCTTTGGCTTTAAATTATGTGGCATTTTACTTTTAAATGGGAATAAGAAATTGGAGACTTAACAGATTTTTTTTTTTTTAATATATGAAAGTAAATGACAACAGCTGGTTAAAATTTCCCTGTTTAGCTCTGGTCAAGGGCCATCAGTAAGTAGGTGGAAAGTAAGGCGAATAGGTTGAAAAGGCAGTAGAAAATAGCAGCCTGCACAGTACTCATATCCAACATTTCTGGATTCTTTAAAGAGATGTATATATATAGAGAGAGATTTATATAGTTATATAACATTGAATTTCCAAGAAAAACTTAAAAAAAAAAAAAAAAACCAACAACATAAGAAGCACAACTCTTTCCAAACTCTGAACAGAGTCTTGGAAACTACAAATTTTACCTAATTACTTAAGAGTGTCGAAACATGGTGCTTTTTAAAGGGAGACGTCTACCTAATGGCTAGGTCATTGCTGAAGTGCATTTTATTTGCTAAAACTGAGTTAGTTATTAATAAAAAGTAACCATTTCAAAAGTGATTCAGAGATTGCTTGCTGCCTATTGATGGTTATGCATTTACATTTTTAATTAAAGCATTATAAGAATACATAGGTATCCCGTGTCAAAACTTTTCCATGTGATTATTGAAGATTTGGTAACTCTTGAATCACTGATATAGGTCAAATTTCAGATGAAAAGATAACTAAGTCAAACTACAGTGTGAAAAATGAGAAATGTCCTTGGGTTCAGAAAGACTCTTCTTGTCAGTTCAGCTATTTAGCAGGTTTTTGTTTGTTTGTTTTATGGTATTGGGGATTGAGCCCAAGAGCACCCTACCACTGAGCTACATCCCTAGCCCTTTTTACTTATTATTTTGAGGCAGGGTATTTCTAAATTGCCAAGGCTGTCCTTGAACTTGTGATCCTCCTGCCTTAGCCTCCTGAGTTGCTAGGATTACAGGTGTGTGCCACTGCACCTGCCAGCCTCTGTCATAAAAGAACTGAACTTCCTCTTCACATGACTGCTAAAACCTACTTTACTAATGTGACAAAACATATTTTGAAAAGCTCTAGAGTTGGGAATGGTGGCTCATGCCTGTAATCCCAGCTACTCTAGAGGCGGAAGATTGCTTAAACCCAGGAGTAAGTAGGAGGCCAATCTAGGCAACCTAGTGAGATCTTGTCTCTTAAAAAATAAAACAACAATAAACTCTAGATTTCAATTATAAATAATTACTGATTTAAAAAATCAGTGGGCAAGGAAAAAAATGTTTCATCTTCCCCTATTCCAGTAGTTTTTGGATGGTTCCCAAACAATCAATATTCAAATTTCATTTTTTTTACAAACAGCTTTTAAATAAACTGCATTTTCAGTTCCCAAGAAGTTTGACATAATAGTTAAATCTTATTTTTTTGTTGTTCAAGGACAAGTACTGCCTCAGACTCTATAAGCAAAGAGCACAGCATTTCAACCTGAATAACCAGGAATAAACTACTGTTCTGTAAACTAGCAGTATATTCTCCCCCGCCCTCATCTCAGTTCAAAATCCTGATCATATATGGCCTTGAATATAAAGCTGATTCAAACCAAGGAGTCAAACTGTCGTCTCTGTTGAGATGACTTACTCCTCAGCTAAGGGATATTCTGACAGGTCATGAAAGAAGTGATCGCACTTAAATAAAACTACCTGTTCTTGCTTCATATGTTTGCTTGGTGCCATCTCCAGGTAAAATCATAGTCCCTCAGAGCTCCATATGCCACTTAATATAGTACATGAATTCCTTGTTAGTCAAATACATGGACAACTCTGATAGTCTTTTGTCTCTAAACATGGAAAGCAAACCAAACCCATTAATAGAAGATATGAGTTGTTGTTTTTTTTTTTTAAATATCAGAAATTGTGGCCACTTTGTAGGAATAATGCTTGTTACTAAAAAGAATCCATTTCTTGGTTTAAAATTCTCAAATATCAGTTTTCTTTCCTAATCATCTTTTCTGGACCAAGCCATTTATCTTCAACAACATCTTCTTTTCTACTTTCCACTACTACTGAAAATCCCCCCACAATCTTTCTGTGAAACTTAGGAAAAAATAAAGTGTTAAGGTATTTAAGCATTAATAACATGGACAATAAAAGCAAAAGTAGACTATGCTTTTTCAAAAAAAATAAAATAAACTGAAAGGTTTCAAAGTTTTTTCAAACAAAAATTTAAAAGTTTAAACTGTAACAAAATGCAACACAGCTTAGTTGTTTTGATACCATGTGTAATCCAAGTCAATACTTACATCCTTCCTAAAGGGTTTTAGCCCATCCACAGAATCATTGGCTACAACCTTCAGGTTATATTTAAGATGGGAGGACAAGGAAAATCCACCAGGTAATTAGCAGGTTCATCCTTCATGTGCATCTTAGTCAAGAGCATGGCACAAAGGTGCTACTCACATCCTGTGATTCTACTAATACTAAGGACCAGGGGTGAACCAAGGCCAGACTAGGCAACAAGAACAAGTGAGTTTTAGGTTTAAGTGGGACCTTTCCAGCCTTAAATGGTCTGTATTAAGCCACAGAGGCTACCCACATAGTTACTTGCAACAAGTTATTCATGAGAGTGAGAGAAGGATAAGGATTCTAAATTAGTGATGAAAATGTCAATGATTTTAATCTAGCAAGAAAGGTAAACTTGAATGAATCTAATAAAACAGAATTCCTAGCCAAATAAAATTTTAAGGGAAAAGAGAAGGAAAAAGTGGTGAGAAGAATGATGGAGTATTTATATGTACCAGGAACTATGCTTAGGACTTTAACATACAATTTCACTGACCATTAATTAAATACTTTCCAGTGAAATTTATAGCTTTTAAGAACTATAAGGCAATTTGTGAGGCTAACACAAAAAGGTAACATATTAGTAGTTCAATACTATTTGTTCCTCCATCACTAGAGAGGTAGGCTTTAACCTCAATCATTCATCTTTGCCATTATAAATAGATGTGAAAAATTAGATTATATAGTTAATGTTTCTAAAATCTTCATTATGAAAAGGAAATTGAAAATGTCCAGCATTTTCTGGCTCTGAACTTGCAACTTCTGAAGGTGAAATATTGACATTATTGCTAATCTCACTTAAAGCTTTCACAAATTTTTGTTCAGCAAGGGGAAAAAAGCAAAATTAAAATTTAAAAGAGCTCATAAAGAAATGCAAACATTTTTCTTTTTCTTTTCAGTCCTCTCAACTTAAACTGAAGGGCTGCTTCCTCAAATGTCTTAAGACCATGTGTGCAGTACTGAATCATGATCACCACTTAATGTATTTACAGGGTTATAATCACAACAGACAACTTACATTCTGCCATTTATATCACCTACAGTATAATCTAGATGAGAAAGAGAAATATTTACCAAATTACCTGCTACTGCTGTTATTCTTCTTGGATTTATTCCTCCGTTTTAAGGCATCTCTGTCCTTGTTATTGTATGGTAACATGGAGGCATAACCATGTTCAGCTTCTAGAAAACCGGAGGATCCAGTTAATGAATGAGCCTAGAACATTTAATACTCCATCCCTTTCATAGTTTCCCCCTTTTCATTTATTTATTTATCTTTAAAAGAATATTGTGGAAATAACTAAACAGAGCAAGGTGGAATTCTGAGAACAATGATTTTTTTTTTTTAATTGTGTAAATACCCTTAGTTCCAATCAGGTGTAAAAGAAGATTCCAGTTGCTCATTGTTGAGAAAGACACAGCAAGTGGCTTAAGCTCGCCGAGCTTTGGTCGCCCATTAGCAATGTCCAGCAGGTTGGTGTGGATTAAGTGGGAGCAACCTCAGGCGAAGGTGCGGGGCGAACCCCGACCCGGGGCCAGGCGAGACACTGCTCCTCGGCTTGGGAGACAGGGCGCAGGCCCACTTGGGGGCTGGCGGGCACCAGCGCAGGTGAGGTTAAATCAGAGGGGACTGGCTGAGAAGGCTCTGGGCAACCCTACTCGCAAGGGGGTGGGGAGGAGGTTGCGCCCAGGACCTGGGGGACAGCAGCTTCTTTCTCACCCCCATTCATTGCTTTTGGGGCAGCAGAGGCCTCCTTTCAGAGCGCGCGTGGGGAAAGCCGGAGGGGTTGGGAGCGCTCGCGGTCGCGCTCTCGGCGCCTCCAACCACCCCCGGAGAGGCTGGGCTCCCTGACCCACCGCCCCGTCCCTCAGGACCCCCGGCCCCGGCTCGGGCCAGACGCCCCCCAGTCCCCGTGCACCTCTCTCCCGCCGCTCCAGATAGTCGGCCGCCTCCAGCAGCATCTGGATGTTCATCCGAACCGCCGCCGCCATTCTGCACCGGGGGCCGGAGCCACGGGACCAACCCCCACTGCCCACAGGCTCGCCGCGGCCGCCGGACACCCGCGCCCCGCTGTGGACCCCGCGGAGCAGGGCTGAAGGAGCCACTGGCGAACACGCTCGCCGGGAGGGGGAGGGGGCCAGTGAGCTGGGCACCGCCGACACGGTGACAGAACCCGGAGCGGAGCAGCAGCCGCCACCGCCGCGGAGTGTTTATCCCCGACTCACCATCCCCCCGCCCCCAGCCCCTTCTCTTGACAGGCCCGCTTCGGCTGCGTTCCTCATTGGGCACCCTAAAGAATACCCCGCCCCTGGCCTTGTGCGATTGGGAGAGGACACCACAGCTCCGCCCCTCAAAGTCCGCTCCTCTCGGTGGTTGGTCACGCTTGACAAGGCCCGGGCTCCACCCCCCTCTTTCCAATTGGTGACAGGATTCGCAACTCCGCCTCGTGCTTTTCCCCTGTTTTCCATTGGTTCTATACCGACAACCGGGCCCCCTTTTGCTTTGTTAGTATTGGCCAAGAGCTGTAGAAGGCTAGCCACTTCACCTGCCTCCCATTGGTGGAGCCTTCGGACACCTCCCAGCTACGATGATGTCACCTTTCTCCAGGTCCGGTGAGCCCTGAGTGGCTGGTGGCCAGCGGCCTCTCTACTCCTCCTGAGGTCTGGCATTGGCTGGAAATGGCTGGCCCCGGCGCTGGGTGGTGCTGATTCACCGGCCGCGGGGGAGTTAGGCTCCGCCCGACCCCTCCTGGTCCTGCCTCTGACCTGTTGCGAGTCCTGTCTCTGGGGAAAACTTCGGGGATCTGCCAAGTGTCCCTCGAATGGAAGGCTGGCACCTCGCGTCACCTGGGAGCTCATCCCCGCTCGGGTTCGGGACCGGAGCCTTTGGTCTGGTGGCTGTGACCCCGGAGGTCCCCGGCTTTTCCAGAATCCGGCAGCCGTGAACCCCCAGCGCATCCTCCCGGGAGGGAGAGCTTCATCAGCAACCCAGCAAGTGGCCGGTGGGCCAGGGGCTCAAGAGGGCGCCACGTGACTAAGGGGCTGGAAGGAAAAAGCCTGGCCTGTGTAAAACGCCACCCAGCGTTTTTTCTATTCTCAGGAAGCGCTGGAATCCGGCTGCGGTACACGGAATTGAGTTTCTCTCCGAAGGCGCTTACCTCCCCCGCCCTGCCCCGGGAGAGTGGTGGCAGAATTACTCTTATCACGCAAGTGGGTCTTAAGAGCTCAGAAATTAAAGTTGAAGCTGAGTAAGCTGAACCCCAAGATTCTTTGGCCTAAAGCTCTTTTAAGGTTTTCCCTTCCCTTTTAATTCTAGATAAAAACAGGAAGGCTACAGGAAGGTGTGTTTGTGTGAGGAGTGGTACCAATATAAATGCTTACTATAATATTATGTATAAAAACCAAAAGTTTAGGATTGTTCCATAAACCTCATCAGATTTTTTAAATGAAAGCTCTCTGGAGACTCAAGTAATGTACATTGTTGCACATACTGACATTTCCAATTTGAAAATTAGAAATAAAGTTATTTAAGTTGGGAGTCCCCAAGGTTGAAATGAGTAAAGCATGTTTTTTTTTTTTTTTTTTTAATAAAATGTATTATTGTTGCCAATATGTGATAGTAATAGCTTACTGTATTACATATGTTATTTCTAATTCTCAATATAATCCCGTGAGGTAGGTTGTGTTAATTACCTACATTTTGCACATGAAGAGACAGGCCCAGCTAGGCTAAATGATTTTCCTCATCCTCCATTCAGCTGCAGAGATGGGAGCTGAACCTAGGTTTGTCTTACCCACAGCCCTGGCTACTAATCCCCAGGTGTTAGTTGTACTAAAGACATGCAGAAAAAGATTTCCAGACTGAGTCACAAAACACTGATACTCAAGCCCTGGGTAAAGAGAAAGACAAATGTGTAAATACAATTGTGGTGGGAAATTTTTAAAGTGTTTTTTTTTTTTAATGGTCCATAAATCCATTAAAATTGAACAAATTAATTAGGATAAACATGTAATAAACCAAGACTGACATGTAGGAAACACATTTTCTAGGTTTAATGGTTAATTAGAAAAAGTTATGAAAACAGTAATTAAATAAAACATACTGAAAGTAAAGCTTTTCATGAAGGCATAAAGTTGAAAATGAGAATGGGTACATAATAGTTTCGCAGAGTATTTTGAAGTACATGTTATTTTTAAAATAAATTTGAAAAAAAAATCAACAAAATGCAATCCTATTAAAGTATCCAACCTGATATACTAGAAATATTTTGATTTCCTTATCATTTTTAATTTTACATATACTTTTATATTTAACCCAGTCCTATTTCTCAATATCATGACTTTTCCCACTAGAATCTCCCTGATTGAAAAGCGCTTTTCTTTTAAAGAGGGGCCTGGGAATTTGAAATTGAGTCAGAAGAGAGCAAATAAGTAACTTAGACACCAATGATTCTAACTTAAAAACACTAAACAAAGGGGCTGGGGATGTGGCTCAAGCGGTAGCGTGCTCGCTTGGCATGCGTGCGGCCCGGGTTCGATCCTCAGCACCACATACAAAGATGTTGTGTCCGCCGAGAACTAAAAATAAATATTAAAAAAAAATTCTCTCTCTCTCTTTAAAAAAAAAAAAAGAAAAAAAAACTCTAAACAAAATTACTAAATTGTGTACATAAACATCAGAGAATAAAACTAAAAAAATAAATACCATTTTTTGTTCTATGGTGGTAGAACAGATCATCAATTAGCAACACCAACTAAGAACTATTATCAAGAACTTCAAAGAGTATTTGGTGCCATCTACTGGAAGTGAAACAGTAAGCAGAAAAAGGTTTTGAGGTTTAGGTTGTCCTCACCAACCCCTACCCAACCCCCTGGAAATTATTTTAAACAATGAACCTAAATTTTCTGACCAGAATTTTAAATAAAAAGTTATGTGTAACAGCATAAACATGAGATGAAAATAGTTTATATCTCTGAGTATACATCAAGATAAAAACTATTAGAATTGGGTAGTTAGAAATGGAGAAATATAATATCAAATAATTTTGACTGAGTACCAGGGGCAGGAATAAGACCCTGGGGCTGGGGACACAGATCATTTGGTACAGTGCTTGCCTATGGGTTTAACCCCCAGCACCAAAACAAAACAAACAAACAAAAAACTAAGACCCTGTCTTTTCCTCCTTTAGGGGATTATACTCCAGGTAAGGTAGGGATAGTTAAAAAGTTAATACCAATGCTAAGCAGCAGGTTCATTATATGCTATGGGAGTTAGGACTGAGGGATGCTACTTCAACGAGTACCTCAGAATAGAAGGGAAGACAACTTTGTCACTGGTAATCCTTAAGTGTCTAAAATGTTCTAAAACCAGGAATTAAAACCCCCTATTTGTAACAAGAGTTTGGCACTTTCAAACCACCAAGACATTAAAATGAATTTTGTTTTATTATAAGTTTCTGAGGAATTGAGTTTTGTTCCTTGCAGTGTAAAAAGTCAGGACTGTAAGTTTCTGTTTTGATACCAAGCCCTCCCTTTTTTTTGTGGCTGGACACTTCAGTATCATGACCCCCAATATTATGATATTAAGTTTTAAAACTCTGCTTTGCAAAAATCAATCACACTATAAATATCTGAGATTCTAAAAATAGAACAATGGATTAAAAACTGTAATAAAAGGGGGCTAGGGGTTAGCTCAGTGGAAGACATTTGTCTAGCACACTCAAGGCTCTGAGTTTGATACCCAGCACCATGTGCAAACCACCACCAACAAAACAATAAAACCAACACCAACCTGTGATATACACATTACACAAAATATGGCAACAGGTTTCTTAGGTTTTTTTTCTTAAAAAGGTAGGTTAACATGTATAAATGGCACAGAAAGATCTCTAAGGCATCATGTTGAGTAAACAATTAAGTTATAAAATAATCCCTACATATTATTTATTTTTTAAGAAAAACCCAAACTATGTATTTTCCTTATTTTCTAAATTCTATTACATACAAAGATGTAAAAACCAAGGAAGGACACATGCAAAGGATTAACAGTGAAGAAGAGGCAATAGGATTATGACTACTGTTCAAAGGGATTAGCTTTGTCCCAATGTTTTAAATTATTTACAAGAAAAATGTATCTATTTCTTACTTGGGTAATAAAGGTTAAATTAAAAATCAGGGAAAGTAATTAAATTTAAAAAGATTACAGAACTATATTCACAAATTCAACAGACTCTTATTGAGTGTTTTACTCTATGGCAGGTACTATGTGGTGCTGGAGCTATAGCAGAGAATAATACCAGCCCCAATTCTCAGAGCTCACTGTCTAATAGGACAACCAGACAGTAATAAATGAATACAGGTTATGTCAGGCAGTGATAGGGGCCATAAAGAAAAGCAAGGAAGATTTGGAGACCAGATAGAGAATTTGGAACCCTCATATACTAATGGAGAGAATGTAAAACAGTGCAGCTACTTTGCAAAACCATTTGTGACAGTGTTCAAAACTTTTAACAGTTACTATATATAAACCACTAATGCCACTCCTAGGTATGTACTCAGGAGATTGGAAAAAAATTATGTTCATACAAAAATTTGTATGAATATGCATGCAGTATTCACAAAAATAGAATCAACCTAAATGTCCACCTACAGATTAATTATAAATAAAACAGTGGTATTATCTCTTGAATGGAATATTATTCAGTCATTAAAAAGGAACTGTGTACTGATAAATACAAATGAATGAACCTTGAAAACATGCCAAGTCAAAGAGACCAAACACAAAAAGACAAATAATATATGATTCCACTTATGTAAAATGTCCATAATAGGTACATCTATAGACAGAAAATGCACTAGTGGTTTCCAGGTAAAGAGGCAAGGGAGTAAAGGTGTGATTATTAATGGGTATGGGGATTTTTTTAGGGGTGATGAAAATGATCTAGAATTAGTGATGATGGATGCATAACTCTGAACTGTAAACTTTTTAAAAGGGTACATTTTATGGTTTGTGAATTTTATCTCAAAAAAAATTTTTGGGGGGTACTGGGCATTGAACCCAGGGGTACTTTACCACTGAGATACATTCCTGTCCTTTTGTATTTTTCATCCTAAGGCAGGGTCTCACTAAGTTGCCTAAGCCCTCGCTAAATTGCTGAGGCTGGCTTGCTATCTCAAAATTTTAATGGTCCAAAAAAAAAAAAGCCCAGGGCAGGGGCTGGGGTGGTGGCTCAGCAGCAGAGCGCTAACCTGGGAGAGAGACCCTGGGTTCGATCCTCAGCACCACATAAAAATAAATAAGTGAAATAAAAGTATTGTGTCCAACTACAACTGAAAAAAAAAGGCCAGGGCAGTGGCACTTGCCTGTAATCCTAGAGAGTTGGGAAGCTGAGGCAGGAGGATCAAAATTTCAAGGTTTGCCTAGCAAGTTCACAAGACCCTGTCTTAAAATAAAAATAAAGGACTGGAGCAGTATACAGTGGCACACACCTGTAATCCCAGTGACTCAGGATGCTGAGGCAGGAAAATCAACAGTTCAAAGCCAGCCTCAATAACTTAATAAACTCCTAAGAAACTTTGCAAGACTCTGTCTCTAAATAAAATATAAAAAGAGCTGGGGATGTGGCTCAGTGGTTAAGGCCCCTGGTTTAATCCCCAGTATAATAAATAAATAAATAAAAAGGGCTGGGGATGTGCTTCAGTGGTTAAATGATCCCCTGGGTTAAATATCCAATCACACACACATATACACAAATAAATAAAGAAGGATAAAAGGATAGAGAGTTAAGAGAACTTGCTATTTTGGTAAGGGTGGGTCAGGAATGACTTGAGTTTGAGCAGAGACCTGAGCAATGTAAAGTAGCAAATCTAGGAAGTGGGAAAACATTTCAGAAGGAAGAGAAAGTGGACAGACTCCAGGGGCAGGAATATGCCTGTTCTCAAAGAACAGCAAGGAAGATAACTGACTGAAATGAGCAAGGGGATGAGGCTATAAAATCCAGAGTCCAGGTCAGGTAGAGGTCTCTAGACCATAGGTAAGACTTTCTTCTGAATAATAGAAAATCACTGGACCCAGAAGAAAAGTATACTGATGCACATTTTAAAAGGTTTGTCTCAGTTGCTGGGTGGAGAATAAACAGGAAGGGTGGAAAGAGGGAGAACAATTAGGAGGCTATTGTAATATTTCAACAAGAGATGACTTGGACTAGCATGGGTGCTGAGAAGTGGTTAGATTCAAAACATCAAAAGGATCTGCCAATGAATCACATGTGGGGCAAAGGAGTCAGGATGATCCCAGGATTTTAGTCTGATGAAGAAGTAAATGAAAGGGTCATTGACTGAGATACCTCAGAGAAAAACACTAGGCATGGAAATGAGAGTTCAGTTTGCTTAATCTTAAATTTGAGGTGCCTAATAATTTAGGTGCATATAAGAGACTGTAATTCAGTAAAATGATCAGGCTGGAAGTATAAATTTGAGATTCAGGGCAGAAGATGTTTGAAGTCACATGGATGAATGACTCACCAAGGCAAAGTGGAAAGTCTAAGGA